TTTTATTTGTTGGCTTGTTTTACACTCTCTCCTCTACTTTGATTAAAGTGCTGTGTCATGTCTGTTGGTATGACTGGATGCAGAACCCACATTGTTCAGTCCAATGTTGCTCTGTACAACAGTTATGCCCCATTATCCAGCAAATGGCCAGAGACAAGCCTGTGAGTTTAAGTCGACACTAAGTGCGGCTGTTGGGAGTACAGGAGTGGCATAAATTATACAACACTCGTTCAATTATGATAAAAAAAAGAGGAGATGTGGTATTAACTTATCAATTTAGAATGAGATGTTTTCTCTCATCCTGAACTAACTACTCAACTAAGTTTTGTGGTGAAAACATAAAACTGACGACCCATTTTGGGTGAACACAGACACAAAGTTTCCGCAAATGAAACCAGCAAAAAAAAGTTATTCTGAAAGCCAAAATTGCCAAGTCATGCCTGTACAAGTGCAGAAAAGTCGAAGAAATAGAAAAGAAATTGATTACTCTCCACTTTACTGATTTCTTACAGAGAACAATCATCATTTTTTTCCCAAGCCGAGAAGAACATGTTCTTTAAAGGGGTGAAAAACCCTCCAAAATGTGTAGTGCAGGTCTATTAAAGGGACAACTAAATTAAATCCATTTCACAGTTCCACAGCTGACTGCACCGCTAGTTTGCTTGAGGCTGGTCCAAGCAAAACGAGTACAGCTATGCAAGTCAATCAATTCCACAACTATACAAAAGCAGCAATGCAGTGCTGGGATTGCTGCAGATGGAACAGAAGCTTGTCCACATGTGATAGCCTCTCACAAGCATTTGGGGGCAGTGATTTCAGTCTGAACTTCAAACTTCCGCACCCAGCATGGTACGGTACAACCCAGAGGGTTTTCAGTCTCGGACAGGTTGATTGTTGTTTCTATATATCAAACCAAGATGGAAACAACCAGAATCAGAGACCTTTACCAAGAATCAAAGACTACCCTGTCCTGAAAAAACTCATTTAATGATAGTATAACATATACACATAGATTTCAAATAAACTAACTATGGCACGTCACTATTTAAAACATCCATTCGTTTTTTATACTCACTTAATCCAGTTAGGACTAGCAGGGAGTCTGCAGACTATCGGCTACAACTGGATAGGAGTTTTTGAGCATCCCGGAGCACCTGGAGGGAACCCACTCAGAGAGAATATGCAAACACCATACAGAAAGCCCCAGCTGGGATCCAGAACAGGAATCATCAGCACGCAACCTGTTTTTTCACATCAAACTCCAAACCCCTGGAGAATTAAGACCCACTGCTGTCATCGCTGGTCGAAAGGGGACAGAAATGATTTATAACTAAAGATACATTTAACTTCTATGGGGATTTTTTTTTTAGCAGAACTACTACTACTTTAGATTGTGGTCATTTCTGTGTATATGATTCTATTGATTCGATGCTTTGGGAGCAACATTATGAATTTTGGAACCACATCAAAGGAATAATATCAAATAAAAATACTGACTTTTTGAGCTTTTATGAAGAAAGTAAGTCGTCGATACATTGACAGACTGTATAGAGGAGACTGAACTGATGTTTGAATTTAAAGGGGTACTCCCTGTACATTATCAATACTAACACATTTACAACTACATTTAAATATCAAATATTTTCTTTTGATAACGGCATATCTATCAGTCGTCTTAGGAAACCTTGAAATACGGTTATTTTTTTGCATTTTTAACTTGTTTAAACATTTGGATAAACGCTGTAATGGAGTAGTTCTCAGTTATGAAAGTGCTGTAGGAGCTGCACTAATTAATCTGACAATGACAGGAACAGAACAATTTTCAGCTTGATCAGCCATGACCAGTGACCGCCTGATTAATCTCAGATACAGTATATCTTCAGGACGGAAGACGCAGCCACACATGCACACAAATCACAGCAACGTTGGTGCCGTGCAAGTTAACGCGAAATTTTGCCTTGAGGCTTCGACTCAAGCATAGAAGAAACATTCAGAGGATGAGAAGCCAGTACCAGCGAGCAGTCTGTCTTCTCAAAGCGTGAAGAACACTGGGTCTACTTAACGAATTCAGACCTCCTGGATCTTGGACTTGAATGTGAATGAGACATTGTTAAACACACACACACACACACAGTGCTTCTTTCCAACATGAAAAAAGAATGTGACACAGGCCGCCATCTTTTTATATAAATGTGTCAACACAGAGACGTAATAACCTCAACATGATAAACCATCACTAGGACATTTTAGTGTTTTAAGCATTTATATGTTTAAGATGGACGCTAAATAAGCTTGAAATGAAGACTGGATGGATTAAACTTAACTACTCCATTATAATCTATAACAGTTTGAATGCATTGTGTATGAAAACTTACTTATCAAAGTATAAAACTCACGGTAAGAGAGACGTCTTGATATCTTGTGGGTTCTCAGATGTTCAGAAATGTATAGGGG